TCTAATATTTAGTTAAATAACTTTTACTAAATTTGAAGTAATATAAAATAAAAAAAAATTGTGACTTGTATGTTTTCTATGCTAATCTTAAACTAAGAAAGCAAATAAAATATTTATTTAATATGTGAATATTTGTATTGAAATCGTGAATCCCCCGATTGCCATTTAATTCAACTCTTAATTTATAATCTAGTAAATTCATGCATTCAAGACAATCGATAATCCACTTTTATTCAATATTCTTTCCCAAGATATATTAAACCTATGTTTAACACGATCCGATCCTATTCCTCGTCCGAATTCATATGAAAAACATGCATTGATTCATAGGATTTATCACACATGATTGCACATGCCATATATATTATTCCTAACACCTATTGTCCATGTGTTGATTTTACCGCGTTCTAAACTTATTGTGAGTATTCCTACACTACAACAAGCAACTTACTATCTAATTAGTGATCAATCAATTAAATAGTTCAATGGGAATGCAAAACCAATCAAGAAAAAATCATGAACTACTAAATTAATTGTCTTGAATTAAAATAAACAAACGATAGGATTCATCATTCATCCAATACAATGAAAAACTAGCATAGCATATTAATATATAAATTACAAGAAAAATAATAGAAAAATATCACTCGGATCATGAAAGAATACAAAAGATGTTGATCTTCACGTCCAAAGTTGAATTTTTCAAAACTTGATGTAATTGAACTTCAATTCCTTGCTATGACTTGATCTTCTCTCTCAAATATAGCAATTGGCCCCTTGTTTTTGATGGATTTAATGAAACTATTGTGTATGAAGAGGCAAGAGAGAGACCCTTTCATTGCTGCCCATATCTTGTATTTGTTTGATGAAATTAAGTCAAAATTCACGTCCAAATCGTCTTCCAAAAAAGTTTGAATCAAATAAGGAAAGTTGCCTTCACGCGCACATAATTTTATCTTTGCATAGCTTTCAATATTTTGATCATAATTTTCTGTATCGGAATCCGATTCAGGTGATTCAAAGTGCATTGGAAAGCTAATTAAAAGATCTACAATTCTTCTAGAAATACAATTTTTCCAATTCAAACATTCTCCATCTGAAAAATGGGTCTCAAATTGATCAAAAGTCTTGAAGATATCTTATATGATTTGAAGTCGATCTATGGTAATATTCTAACCATATTCATTTCCTTTTTTACTCCAATTTGCATTCAGTTGACTCCTATCAATCTTCAAAATATATTTTGTGATCCAAATCAACCACTAAATATTTACACTTTGGTCCCCATACTTTGGATTTGCTTCATTTATCCATTTTTCGTTCTTTTTTTCAATTCTTCTTTGAAATATGAATTTTTCCTAATAAAAGTAATAAATAACAAATCAGGTACTAATCCATTCAAAAAATAACAAAATATCATCATTTAAGATCCCAAATAAGTGTAGAAACTACACTTATCAAACCCCCAAACTTGAATATTTGTTTGTCGTCAAACAAAACTAAAATCCAGCAAACACACAGTGCTAATTACTTCATTGGTGGCCAGTCAACCAAGCAATATAAAAGGATTTAGCTAGCTAACCCGGATTTTTATCTCAAAATTGAATCATAAAATTAAATATATGCACAGCTTCAAAATCACAATACAGAAATTAAAATCTACTTTTCCAATATAAAAATGACGTGTGTGTGTGGAGAATTAAGCATAGCATCATGAATTCACAAGTAGTTTCAATTCCCGACCCTCAATGGTCAAATATGTCCTTTCAAAAACTTGTTCGTCAAAATTTCGCAAGCGTACGGGTTTGTTGTACAAGTAATAATTGTGGTGAAAGAGTTATCGTCTCATAGGGAATAAGGTCTAACCCCAGTGTATTTGATATAATTAAATTCGTGTAATTAACTAAAAGTTTATGTTTGTTTGAATAACTAATTAAGTTCTATAACTAAAAATTGTAAAATTGATGAGAATTTGTTTTAGAATTCAGATGAGTGAATGTATTGGATTTCTGACGCCACTAATCAACTCTTAGTTATAATTCTCGACCTATGACAATTATCTCAACTCATGCAATTGTGACGATCGATAATTTCACTTTTATTTATTATTCTTTCCCAAGATATAATAAATTTATGATTATCACGAGACGATCCTATTCTTAGTCCGAATTCATATGGCAAACACGCATTGATGTATAGGATTATCACACACGTCACAAATATTATTCCTAACATTCATTGTCCATATGTTCCAATAACAGTGCTTTACCTACCATGAGTTTTTCAACACTACGAATAAGCAACTTATTGTTCTAATGGTGCGCAAACATTAAAACAATATGGATATGCATATTAAAGAAACCACAATACAAGAATTAAGATAAAAACATAAGGTATTGAATTAAAAACTAAGAGTCAATCAATTTTGTCATCCATCCAATACAAAGATATTTAGCCTAGCATATTAATGTAGAAAAAACAGGAAAAATAAAAGAACGACATCATCCAAATCATTAAAATATGAAAAGAATCTGAAATCCTCCACTTTATGCCTTCAATTTCGAATCCAAATGATGAAGTATTATTCTTCAATGTATATTCCGCTCTCTTTTTCCTCTTTGTCCATTCCAAGATGATAAAAATTAGGTTCAAATTCACATCCAGATTGTCTTCCAAAAGATTTTAAATCAAATAAGGAAAGTTGTCTTCGCGCGCACGTAATTTTGTCTCTGCACAGCTTTCAGTATTTTTATCATAACTTTCTCTTTTAGTGTTCGATTTAGGTGATTCAAAGTGCATTGAAAAGCTAGTTAAAAGAGATACAATTCTTCTAGAAATACAATTTTTCCAATTCAAACGTTCTCCATCTGAAAAATGGGTCTCAAGTTGACCAAAAATCTTGAAAATATCTTATATGATTTGAAGTCGATTTATAGTAATATTCTAACTATATCCCTTTCCTTTTTGACTCCAATTTGCATTCAACTGACTCCTATCAATTTTCAAAGTATCTTTTCTGCTCCAATTCAACTTTTGGATTATTACATCCTAGTTCCCAAACTTTGCCCTTGACGTATTGAGTTGTTTTTTCCCGCTTATTTTCTTTATTCTCGTATCTTCCATTGATTTACAACCTACACACATAGGATTAAGCCATATTTCATCAAATTCATCAACAAATACTCAATTTTAATGGCTTAAATAAGTGTATAAAATACACTTATCAAACACTCCCAAATTTGAACATTTGTTTGCCCTCAAACAATTTATAGCCCGATCCAATTAAACTTTGGTTAGATGGTATGCTGTTAGTCTCAGGATTGGATAATTGTGTCATTTGAAGAGTGTCCAAATTACACATTGAAATTAATCTCCCCTTATTCAATGTGAAACTTAAAGTGTGTGTGTGAATATTCATATAAACATCACAACGCTAATAACTGGTTTGATTCCCAACCTGCAGTAGTCAATTATTTCCTTTCCTCACTCGTAAGATACATACTCTCAAACTTATGCTTTTTATTCACTTTTCCCGAGGTATGCACTAAGGTTGACTTTTAGCTAATTCTGATCCTTACCCTCTCTCATTTGGATAGATATTAGCTAATATAGATTCTCATCTCGACTAATAAAGATTCTCCCATATTTTTGATTACTTCGGCTTCTAAGACTCAATTGAGCTAATGACCCATTCTCAAAGGTATAAGTCCCTAAAATAGTTGTTCGAGGCTTAATCTTGGCACTTGGTGCGTCTTCTGTTTCATGCACATGCTCATTCCGAATTTTTTTTCATTTATATATATATATATATATTTTATATACTTCTCTCCATTAAGCGACTAAGTGACCCCTGTAGCGAGTTTTCAGCCGATGACTCTCAAGTCAGATGATCATAGGGCACCAGGTTTTAAGGACCCTTGCAGGCTTAATTGCTCAAATAAAAAAGGTTTCGAAGAGAAGTTCTTTTTACTTCTTTTAATTGTCAAGATTAGTACAATGCCCCTTATTAAACACCTATTCTTGAAACCGACCCCTAACTCGAGGTTTTCGTCTCAATTCATCTTATTAGCTTTAGATAATCCACGTAATCATTTCACACATGAAATCCTTACTTATCTCAATGTTTCTCTATACTAGTTTAATCATTTCCAAATTCTCCTAAAAGAGGTTTTATGTTCTTATTTATTTGTGTTGGTTCCGGTTTGAATCAACTATGTTCAACTTTCTCCTTATACAAACCAAGTCATCAACTCATAATGCAGAACATGAATATCGTGCCAATAGAGATCAAGTTTCACATCAACAGGTGTCAACTAACTCAACATATAATTCTTCCACGGTTCTTAGTTAATTACACAGTTTCAATATATGCATCATTGCCAGCAAGGTCATCCAACCCACACAAGCACACAAAAGTTAAAAACAATTTTATTTTATTTTTTCAAATAAAAACACAACAATCATGCGAAAAGAAGTAAAGCACATACAAACGATGAAGATAAAAGATTAAACCACCCCCAAACTTAAACTCGACATTGTCCTCAATGTCTTAAAACATAATTAAAAACGTAAAGGGATTGGAAAGAAAATGATGAAAGTACTTCCTGAATTTTTCTATTGAACATGGAAGGTACTGTAGGTTACGGCTAGACAATTTTCTCATCATGCTTTTCTCTTTGTTTATGTTGGTTTGAGTGTTCTACAACGTCATATTCCTACATATGGCAATCACATCAAATATTAGAGATCAAATAATCTAGAATATGCTTTACTTAGCCCAAATACTCGAAATAACCAACATTATATTTAAGGGCCTCGGTGAAAGCATGATTGGATGATGACACCATATAAATTTAAAAGTGCCTAAATTTAATGCAGACTAATAATCAAAACAAGACTATATGCAATGTAGAAAATAAAAAAAATAAAAAGTTTAGAAATTGGGTTGTCTCCCAATAAGCGCTTAATTTATAGTCTTTAGCTAGATTTTATTGTTTTGGCTATTCATGGTGGCTTGAAGAGGGAAAAACTCGTTGGCAGTCCTCAAAGTAAGATGGTTGCTTGATTACATTCTCCATGGTGAAGCTCTGTTTCTTATCCTCTATCCTCAAGATTATCTCATTAGCATCAAAATCCAGCAAGGCGAGACTTGTAGGCAAAAATGGTCATCCCAAGATTATTAGCATATGATCTGCCTCTTCTATGTCGAGGATGATGAAGTCAGCTGGAAAAATAAACTTCTCCGCCTTGATAAGCATGTCTTCGACTATTCCGTAGGGGTGTTTCAGTGATCGGTCCGCTAGCTGAAGGATAATAGATGTCGCCTTAGGAACTCCTAATCCCAGTTTCCTGTAAAGAGGTAAGGGAATTAAATTAATATTCGCTATTGAATCAATTAAACAATTTATATCATTTAGATTTCCTATGAAGCAAGGTAGAGTAAAACTCTCTGGATCTTTAAGTTTGGGAGGGATCCTGTGCTGGATGATCGCGCTGCACTCTTCAGATAATGCTATTGTTTCATATTTCGACATTTTCCTTTTTTTAGTCAACATCTCCTTCAAAAATTTAGAATAGTTTGGTATTTGAAGGATAGCATCGATGAATGGAATGTTGACATGCAGCTTTTTGAGGACCTCCAAGAATTTCATAGCTTGCTTCTCCAAGTTGCATTTTTGCAACCTTTGAGGAAAAGGGACCGAGGGTGTTAGTGTAGTGCCAAGAACATTTGCCTTAAGCTGTGAACTATCTGAAACTATCTTTTGATCATTTTCTATTGTTTCTTCAGACTACTCCACCGGTTCTTCCCCCGTGGTAGGCACTTGATTCTCCTCAGTCTCTTTCTTTTTCACTGTGATTTCTGGTAGCTGAACCCACTCCTAGTAGTGATAGCCTGAACTTGCTGTAATGTTGGTTGCCTTCGTAGTCTCTGAGGAAACGGAATGGGAGGCACATAGGCCATGACAAGGTTGGCGGGAGTGAATGATGGAAGCTCAATAGTTGCATAATTTACCGCATAAACTGTCAATACCTACTTCCATGGGTTCTTCTCTGTGTCGCTTGGTAAGGTACCTGGTGGTCTATTAGCTATAGCAGTTTCGATCTGTCCTACATGCTGTTCCAAATTCTTAATAGATGCCTGCTAATTCTGAAAGTTAGTTTCAGTCTTAGTAATGTATTGAGCCAGCAAATCTTCCAACAATGGCTTTTTTCCTTGCTGTTGTTGTTGGAACCCTAGTGGTTTAATCTGATTATTTCCTCCTTGTCCTTGTCCCTAATTGTTAGACCATGAAAAGTTTGGATGATTCCTCCAACCCGAATTAAATGTGTTGGAGAAGGGACTATTTTGTTGTCTCTAAAAGTTTTACGCATAGCTCACTTCTTCAAACTGGCTAACATGTGTAGACGCCTGAGGACAGTGCATAGTATTATGATCAGCTCCACAACCTTCACAAACTAGTGGAGATTGGTGTACCATGTTAACTATCTTAGACAGATTATCTATTTTCATTGTAAGAACTTCCATTTATACAGCCAGTGATATTACTGCATCTACATTATGCAACCCTACTGTCGTCCTTGGAGTTTCCCTATCGGTTGGCCACAT